TATATATATATATATATATATATATATAATTATTTTTATAAAAAAATTTATAACATAAGTATGTTATAAAATCACTACAAAAATAGCCATTTTGTTTCAACACACTCTGTGTCTTATCAAGTGATGATGTTGAAAATAAAATAAAATGGTTTTAAAAGTTTCAGATTAATTAACGATCCTACACTAGGGGAAAAACATTGTTACAAAAGCTAGAATAACCAATCAAAAACGAAGTATAGAAAGATTCAAAAGCTTGACAACGAAATCATGCTATAATGGCTTTTCAGATCTTTAAATACGTGTAATATTAAAAAATACTTTTATACTAACTAATAATTATAAAATTATATGATAAAATTTAATATTAAAATTAAAACTGGCAATTTTAAAATCTAAATTTAATCACTATTAAGTTTAAAAACAAAAATTATTGAGAAAAGAAAAAATATATATGTTTATTCAATTCATTTCTTCATTGAAATTACGTTCGACAAGACGCTACAATACATCCGGTCATTATACTTTGATATATATATATATATATATATATATATATATATATATATATATATATATATATATATATATATGATTTTATGTATGAGTGAGTGGGAATCCAGACTTAACATCCTGGGACTTTTTCTTTGGGATTGGTTAAAGGAGCAATTCTTCTATACCAAACCAAGAATTTAGATGAACTTGAAAGGCGAATACAAGAAGTTATGTCTTCCATAGAACAAAATTTCCTGGTGAAATCAGTCGATGTAATTCCTGGGCTGCTCGAGAAGCTGGTATCAAAATCAGGTGGACCTATCGAATTTTAAATAGTACCTAATGCTAAATTCTTCCCTCTTATTTCAATTTCTTGTTAAAATTATAGTTACTGAATAAAATATGGAATACTTTTCAATTGTTCTGTACATATAGAGTAACTCAAGAGGTACTATTTTGTCAATATATGACTATTTAGAGGGTGTGTAGGACGGACTAACGGAATCACAGAATTTTATAGATAGATAAAGGATCAACTTCAATTAACATTTTCGTTGGCTTTTGTGTAAAGAAGAATCGATCTTGCTAATAAAAGATATGATGTCCACTTCAAAGAAAGTTTAAAGAAAGAGGATAGTTGTGACGGATGTCAACTGGGAAAGGTAATGGCGGAGAGATTGAATGAAGCAAGCAAAAATACCTGGTTTAAAGGGACCAACACCATTAACACCAAGGTATCCCTAAGGAGACAATAATGCTACAGAGAAAGGGAAAGAGAATTAAAAAAGAGCGAGAAGAGAAAGATAAAAAAACAATAATCCAAACCCAACAGGGAAACAATTGAGAAAAGAAATTCTTTGAAGAGAGAGAGAAAGAATGACAGAGAGATGATAGAGAAATCTCTAGAGAGTTTGGGTTCGAATTGAAGTGAGAAAGAGATTTCGTTATAGAGAGAAAGAAACCAGAGGAGAGAAAGAGTGATTGAGTGAAGAGAGAAAGAGAGATTTAATGTTGAGAGAGAAAGTTTAAAGGGAGAATTAATAAGAGAAATAGAAAGTGAATTAGGAAATCAAGGGTTACAGAGAGAAAGGGAGGAGAAATAATTAATTCAAAGTATTTAGAGAGAATCATGAAGGAGAGATTAAAGAGAGAGAAAGATGAGAGAAATGAATCAGGAAAGAGAGAGAAAGAGAGAGAAAGAGAGAGAGAGATGATTTTATTTTTGTTAGTAGAGAGAAAGGAAAATAGAAAGAAAAGAAAATAGAAAATAAAAAGAAAAAGAGAGAAAGAGAGAGAAAAGAGAGAGATTGATTGAGCGGTATCAGCTCAAACAGGCATCTACTATATATTACGTTTGTAATAATAAAACACACACACCACATATATACTTATTTTCAAAGCGTAGCTTAGATGTGGCACAAGGCAGAAAATGTGGGGCACCTAGTGAGGATCAATCTCACTTTTCAGTCGTAACTGATCTAGCGAGGCAAGCTTGCTAACCATTGCACCAGGCCGAGGTGCCCAACACACATATATACAGACATATATATATATATATATATATATATATATATATATATATATATATATATATATTCTGTATTTGGTATAATCCTTTCATGCACATTTCATTGAATACGACAGACAAAAAGGTGCTTTTATTTAGTTTTGTATAAATTTCTCATACGATTTAATAACTTTATTCTTTTTCAGATGATAAATTATATAAAAATTTTTTATATAATTTATCATCTGAAAAAAAAAAAATGATATTAGATCGCATGAGAAATTGTTTAAAAAACTAAATAAAACACCTTGTCTGTCGTATTCAATAAATATATATATATATATATATATATATATATATATATATATATATATGCATGTTTCGTTAAAAAACACAGTTCCATCAGAACACATTTAAACACACACTCAGATTTACCCGACACTATTAGGAACATACTAGTAGAAAACACTAATATATTAACTGCATCCACTTGCAAAAAAGACTAAAAATAATGGAAGCTCTAATAATAAAAAGAAAAAGCCAACTCTAACAATATCAACTATGAACAAAGCCACAATGTGCTAACCGTATTCGGAAACTAAAACATCACTACCACACACTGAACATACATAGAACACACACTCTACTAAGCTGATAATCGAATCATTCTTGATAATGGCTAAAGGTATAGCCGAAAGCGCTCGGAAACACAGAACATTCGGACAGTTCTTACACTCTTTGTCCAGAAAAGAAAGCTCTTGTCAGAACACAAGAAAATTAAATAAAAAGCTCAACTGTAGTACCTTGTCTGTCGTTTTTTACACGAAACATGCATAAAAAGGAAGGATTGCTGCCTAAATTTACAAATATATATATATGCATACCCACTCATACATAAAATCACATGTGTATACACACACACACACATATATATATATATATATATATATATATATATATATATATATATATATATATATATATATATACATATATATATATATATATATATATATGTGTGCATAAAATCACATATATATATATATATATATATATACATATATATATATATATATGTATGTATATACATGCATAAAATCACGCTGTATATATATATATATATATATATATATATATATATATATATATATATACAGTGCGTTTTTATGTATGAATTGGCAGCCAGGAGTCCTGATTAACATCCTGGAACTTGATTAAAGAAGCAATTTTTTCGTTAAGGAAAGGAGTAATGTTTTGTATATCGAGAATCAGGTGAGTAGTGTCTCTCTCTCTCTCTCTCTCTCTATATATATATATATATATATATATATATATATATATATATATGTGTGTGTGTGTGTGTGTAAACTTTAAGAGAGAGAGAGAGAGAGTATGATGCACACACTATAGGAGAAACATTTAGTCTGGGTGTTGCGTTATATTAGTTATCGAGAAGCTTCTTGCCTTGCAGGCTTAACGAAGTGCATCTTCCTTGGTCAACATCTGGTTTCGTTGTTTTGACGAATACTTGCTGCCTAAATATATACGTCATATAAATGCATATGCAAAAATTACAAATTCGCTTTAAGGAATATTATAAAATTATGAAACACTCCTGTTGAACAAACTAAAAAAAAAACAGGTTAATTTAATTATAAAAAAGAAATATAAAAAAGAGCAACAATATGCAGCTCAAAACAGCAGCACGCAAGGTAATCAAAATTATACCAGTGATAACAAAAATTCACCGATAAACAAAGCCATTAAAAAGAAAGAATTTTTACTGGGAGAGACACGGAGAGGAGTCTCAAAGCAACAAAAATCTGCTTCTACAGAAGATTGCTGAGGATACCGTGGGCCGAATATACAAGCAACGATGCAGTTTTAGAGAAAATGGAAACAAAAAGACAACAGGAAGAGACAGTTGAAATTTCTATGGCACATACTGAAGAAAGTGGGCTGGGAAAATCTGATACTCACAAGACGATTGAGAGAAATAGGGACAGTGGAAAACACCATACTTAGCTTGAGTAAAATGGATGGCGAAACAAGGTTTAGGAGAGATTACAGATAAATAAAATTGATAAGGAAGGACCTGAAATTTACAAAGGACATGAAATTGTGGAGATCCATAATTGCCTACGTCTTGAACGGATACATAAAAGAAGAATGGCCAATAGATTAGGCGGAATTAACAAAAAATTGAACAATTTCTATACTAATCTAGCGTAGAAAAGAAAACTCTTGTTCACATGCGAGAAAAATATTAAAAAAAAAAAACTTTTCTGTCTGGTTTAAAAATACCATATATATAGTAGGTCCTCGGGTTACGTCGGACGCGACGTGCAGCGTTTCGTGGTTACGGCGCCATCTCCCATAATATAATACGTCGCCGGGCGGAGCTACATGAGGAAGACTACCTTGTTTCTTCACTGTCTGTAAGGCATATTCGATTGAGCGACATTCGCTATCTCTCGTTTGTATTCTTTTTTTTGCGGGAGGGGACACTTTGCCGTTCATTATAACTCCCAAGAGTAAGGCAGACTCATGCGTGCTTATAAGGGTGATTTCCGACCTACGTCGAAATTCAGGTTACGTCGTGCCATAGGTACGAGTCTCAAACGTAAGTCCAAGGCATAGACAATCGAAAAATAGTATTATCGATATATATTAAGAAAGTATATATATATATATATATATATATATATATATATATATATATATATATGAAGAAATATAGTTTTAAGGTGTGTTATATTTATGGAATAAAGTGCTCAATATCAGAGATAGAGCGTATGTAAATATCTATCTATCTATCTATCTCTCTCTCTCTCTCTCTCTCTCTCTCTATATATATATATATATATATATATATATATATATATATATATATATTTAGTTTATGAAAACTAGGTAATCCGTATAGGTAAACCTAAGGAGGATAAAATCCAGAGAGGTCAATGTAAATCCAGAGCAAATAATTTAAATACCCCTTCGATATCAATACATAACTTCCGTTAAGTTAACCGTTTAAATGTGTCAATACCTGCTAACTCACTCATGTCTTCTCTCCCCCTCACTTCCTTACTTCCTTAATTTACATATGTTTAATACGGCCCGTCAAAAATGTGTAAATTTTCTTTTCATTTTCTGTTTGGAAGTAAAGTCTGATGATCCGCAGTCCTTTTAAAAGGGCTGTGGTGAAATAATTTATTACATGGAACCTTAAAGTGGTTTGTTTTTATTTAATATATATATATATATATATATATATATATATATATATAGGATGTACGGTGGAATAGTGGATAGCTTCATTACACACACACACACACAGACACACACACACACATATATATATATCATAATAAGGTATTTTATTTTATTTATTTACCTTTTCATTTTATTTTAGTCTGATTATTTTTATTTATTTATTTTAATCAATACTTTTTAATTAATTATATATTCATATTTATTTTATATTTATTTTACATGTAAATTATTTATTTATTTTATTTATCCTTTTAAATTATTTTTAGTTTTATTGATATATTTTATTTTAAATTTAAATTATTTATTTTATTTTTATTTATTTTACTTATTTATTTTAATGAATTATTTTTATTTATACATTTTATTTAACATTTGAATTATTTATTTATTTTAAATATTTATTTTACCTATATAAACTAATTAATCTTTATGTATATATTTTTTTTTAATTTAAATCTTTATTTATTTATCTAATTTAATTTTTTATTTATTTTATTTATTTTTATTTTTTTTTTATTTAATTTTTATTTATTTTGCTTATCTATTTTAATTAATTATTTTTTTATTTATATATTTTATATATTTTATTTTACATGTAAATTATTAATTTATTTTATATATTTATTTTTACGTATTTATTTATTATTACTTTTCTTTTATTTATTTTACCTATTTATTTTATTTGTTCCTTTTACGTATTTAGTTTCATTTCTTTTATTTTATTTTACATTTATTTTATATATTTATTTATTGTACGTATTTATTTTCAAGTCTTTATTTTATTTTACATTTATATTATTGATTTATTTTTATTTATTTTACTTATTTACTTATTTGATTATATTTATTTTTATTTATTTTACTTATTTATTTTATTATATTTAGTTATTTTATTGCTTTCTTTCTGTCTTCTTGGATTCCGCTTCAGGATAGACTGACTCTTCTAATATTTTTGTATTCAACTGAGGAGATTATTTTTACGTTCCTTAACAACAGACCCAAACATCGAAAAGCGTAGAAGGGGTCGTTGAAAAGAAGAGTTGAACTCCCCTCTCCTCACCAAAAAAAAAAAAAAAAAAATAAAAAATCAAACTAAAAACAAGCCGGAATAATTGTCCTCGTCGTAAAGGCAAGAATTGGGGTTTTGGATGATGGACGAACTAAGCAGTCACGATAACTGCAGAGTTTAATCATGGCGAAGAAGTGTGCGGCGATTTTCGGATTATAAGTGAGACGACCATGAGGAATTTACTTTGTTAGCCTTCGTCTGTTCGTCTGGCCTATCGATGCTTTTATAAGATATTTCAAGACTTATAAACACAAGACATACAAATGTGTAGTGAGAAGACAATGGAGTTATTGTTTTTTTTTCTTTGACGGCGGGCGGGGTGACGGCTGATGGAATGCGTTATTCATTCTTTTTCTTTCTTTCTTTCTCTATTTGTTCTTCTCTCACTTTCTTTCTCTTACGCTTACTTTCTTTATCACTTCCTCCCTCAGATTTTTTTCTCTTTATTTCGAGTCGTCCTTTCTTTCTTTGATTTACTCTTCTTTTCTTTTCTCAGTTTTTTAATTTGTTTTCTCTCTTACTCTCCTTTTTTCTTCCTTTTTGTTTTTCTCTCCATTTCTTCTCTCCTCTTTTTCAAACTCTCTTTCTTTCCCATCCTTTCGTTTCCTCTCCGTTTGTGCTTAACTCTCTTTTCCTCTTTTCCCCTTGCTATCTGCCTCTCTCACTTCCCACTCTATTCTGTACTCTCTTTCTTGTTTCGCGTCTCCCATTTTTTTCTTTTTATCCTCTTTCCGTTCCTTCTTTGCTTCTCAATTACTCCTTCCCTCTCTTTCTCTTTTTCGATTTCTATGTCTATCTTTCTCATCTATTACTATTTTCCCCCTATCCCTTTCTCTTTCTTTCTTTCTTTCTTTCTTTCTTTCTTTCTTTCTTTCTTACGATCTGCTCTCAGGATTACTTCTCTCTCTTACATCCTTTTCTTTCTTTTTTCTTTCTTTTTCTAAGTTCTTTCTTTCTTTCTTTCTTTCTTTCTTTCTTTCTTTCTTTCTTTCTTACGATCTGCTCTCGGGATTACTTCCCTCTCTTACTTCCCTTTCTTTCTTTTTACTTTCTTTTTCTAAGTGCTTTCTTTCTTTTTTTCTTTCTTACTTTCTTTCTTTCTTTCTTTCTTTCTTTCTTTCTTTCTTACGATCTGCTCTCGGGATTACTTCCATCTCTTACTTCCCTTTCTTTCTTTTTTCTTTCTTTTTCTAAGTGCTTTCTTTCTTTCTTTCTTTCTTTCTTTCTTTCTTTCTTTCTTTCTTTCTTTCTTTCTTACGATCTGCTCTCAGTATTACTTCCTCTCTTACTTCCCTTTCTTTCTTTTTTCTTTCTTTTTTTTCTAAGTGCTTTCTTTCTTTCTTTCTTTCTTTATTTATTTCTTTCTTTCTTTCTTTCTTACGATATGCTCTCAGGATTACTTCCCTCTCTTACATCCCTTTCTTTCTTTTTTCTTTCTTTTTCTAAGTGCTTTCTTTCTTTCTTTCTTTCTTTATTTCTTTCTTTCTTACGATCTGCTCTCGGGATTACTTCCCTCTCTTACTTCCCTTTCTTTCTTTTTTCTTTCTTTTTCTAAGTGCTTTCTTTCTTTCTTTCTTTCTTTCTTTCTTTCTTTCTTTCTTTCTTTCTTACGATATGCTCTCAGGTTACTTCCTTCTCTTACTTCCCTTTCTTTTTTTTTCTTCTTTTCTAAGTGCTTTCTTTCTTTCTTTCTTTCTTTCTTTTCTTTCTTTCTTTCTTTCTTTCTTTCTTTCTTGATCTGCTCTCAGCATTACTTCCCTCTCTTACTTCCCTTTCTTTCTTTTTTTTTTCTTTTTCTAAGTGCTTTCTTTCTTTCTTTCTTTCTTTCTTTCTTTCTTTCTTTCTTTCTTTCTTTCTTGATCTGCTCTCAGGATTACTTCCCTCTCTTACTTCCCATTCTTTTTTTTTTTTCTTTCTTTTCTATGTGCTTTCTTTCTTTCTTTCTTTCTTTCTTTTCTTTCTTTCTTTCTTTCTTTCTTTCTTTCTTACGATCTGCTCTCAGGATTACTTCCCTCTCTTACTTCCCTTTCTTTCTTTTTTTTCTTTTTTTCTAAGTGCTTTCTTTCTTTCTTTCTTTCTTTCTTCCTTTCTTCCTTTCTTTCTTTCTTTCTTTCTTTCTTTCTTTCTTACGATATGCTCTCGGGATTACTTCCCTCTCTTACTTCCCTTTCTTTCTTTTTTCTTTCTTTTTCTAAGTGCTTTCTTTCTTTCTTTCTTTCTTTCTTTCTTTCTTTCTTTCTTTCTTTCTTTCTTACGATCTGCTCTCGGGATTACTTCCCTCTCTTACTTCCCTTTCTTTCTTTTTTCTTTCTTTTTCTAAGTGCTTTCTTTCTTTCTTTCTTTCTTTCTTTCTTTCTTTCTTTCTTTCTTTCTTTCTTTCTTTCTTACGATCTGCTCTCGGGATTACTTCCCTCTCTTACTTCCCTTTCTTTCTTTTTTCTTTCTTTTTCTAAGTGCTTTCTTTCTTTCATCCTTTCTTTCTTTCTTACGATCTGCTCTCGGGATTAATTCCCTTTCTTTCTTTTTTCTTTCTTTTTCTAAGTGCTTTCGTTCTTTCTTTCTTTCTTTCTTTCTTTCTTTCTTTCTTTCTTTCTTTCTTTCTTACGATCTGCTCTCGGGATTACTTCCCTCTCTTACTTCCCTTTCTTTCTTTTTTCTTTCTTTTTCTAAGTGCTTTCTTTTCTTTCTTTCTTTCTTTCTTTCTTTCTTTCTTTCTTACGATCTGCTCTCAGGATTACTTCCCTCTCTTCTTCCCTTTCTTTCTTTTTCTTTTTTTCCTAAGTGCTTTCTTTTTTTTTTCTTTCTTCCTTTCTTTCTTTCTTTCTTTCTTTCTTTCTTTTCTTTCTTTCTTTCTTTTCTTACGATCTGCTCTCAGGATTACTTCCCTCTCTTACTTCCCTTTCTTTCTTTTTTTTCTTTTTTTCTAAGTGCTTTCTTTCTTTCTTTCTTTCTTTCTTTTCTTTCTTTCTTTCTTTCTTACGATATGCTCTCAGGATTACTTCCCTCTCTTACTTCCCTTTCTTTCTTTTTTTTCTTTTTTCTAAGTGCTTTCATTCTTTCTTTCTTTCTTTCTTTCTTTCTTTCTTTCTTTCTTTCTTTCTTTCTTTCTTTGATCTGCTCTCAGGATTACTTCCCTCTCTTACTTCCCATTCTTTCTTTTTTTCTTTCTTTTTTTCTAAGTGCTTTCTTTCTTTCTTTCTTTCTTTCTTTCTTTCATTCTTACGATCTGCTCTCGGGATTACTTCCCTCTCTTACTTCCCTTTCTTTCTTTTTTCTTTCTTTTTCTAAGTGCTTTCTTTCTTTCTTTCTTTCTTTCTTTCTTTCTTACGATCTGCTCTCGGGATTACTTCCCTCTCTTACTTCCCTTTCTTTATTTTTTCTTTCTTTTTCTAAGTGCTTTCTTTCTTTCTTTCTTTATTTCTTTCTTTCTTTCTTACGATCTGCTCTCGGGATTACTTCCTTCTCTTACTTCCCTTTCTTTCTTTTTTCTTTCTTTTTCTAAGTGCTTTCTTTCTTTCTTTCTTTCTTTCTTTCTTTCTTACGATCTGCTCTCGGGATTACTTCCCTCTCTTACTTCCCTTTCTCTATTTTTCTTTCTTTTTCTAAGTGCTTTCTTTCTTTCTTTCTTTATTTCTTTCTTTCTTTTTTTGATCTGCTCTCAGGATTACTTCCTTCTCTTACTTCCCTTTCTTTCTTTTTCTTTCTTTTTTAAGTGCTTTCTTTCTTTCTTTCTTTCTTTCTTTCTTTCTTTCTTTCTTTCTTTCTTTCTTTTTTCTTACGATCTGCTCTCAGCATTACTTCCCTCTCTTACTTCCCTTTCTTTCTTTTTTTCTTTTTTTCTAAGTGCTTTCTTTCTTTCTTTCTTTCTTTCTTTTTTCTTTCTTTCTTTCTTTCTTTCTTACGATCTGCTCTCAGGATTACTTCCCTCTCTTACTTCCCATTCTTTCTTTTTTTCTTTCTTTTTTTCTAAGTGCTTTCTTTTTTCTTTCTTTCTTTCTTTCTTTCTTTCTTACGATCTGCTCTCAGGATTACTTCCCTCTCTTACTTCCCTTTCTTTTCTTTCTTTTTCTAAGTGCTTTCTTTCTTTCTTTCTTTCTTTCTTTCATTCTTTCTTATGATCTGCTCTCGGGATTACTTCCCTCTCTTACTTCCCTTTCTTTCTTTTTTCTTTCTTTTTCTAAGTGCTTTCTTTCTTTCTTTCTTTCTTTCTTCCTTTCTTCCTTTCTTTCTTTCATTCTTTCTTTCTTTCTTTCTTTCTTTCTTTCTTACGATATGCTCTCGGGATTACTTCCCTCTCTTACTTCCCTTTCTTTCTTTTTTTTCTTTCTTTTCTAAGTGCTTTCTTTCTTTCTTTCTTTCTTTCTTTCTTTCTTTCTTTCTTTCTTTCTTTCTTTCTTACGATCTGCTCTCAAGTTACTTCCCTCTATTTACTTCCCTTTCTTTTTTTTCTTTCTTTTTCTAAGTGCTTTCTTTCTTTCTTTCTTTCTTTCTTTCTTTTTTCTTTCTTTCTTTCTTTCTTTCTTTCTTTCTTGATCTGCTCTCAGGATTACTTCCCTCTCTTACTTCCCTTTCTTTCTTTTTTTTTCTTTTTTTCTAAGTGCTTTCTTTCTTTCATCCTTTCTTTCTTTCTTACAATCTGCTCTCGGGATTAATTCCCTTTCTTTCTTTTTCTTTCTTTTTTGTAAGTGCTTTCGTTCTTTCTTTTTCTTTCTTTCTTTCTTTCTTTCTTTCTTTCTTACGATCTGCTCTCGGGATTACTTCCCTCTCTTACTTCCCTTTCTTTCTTTTTTCTTTCTTTTTCTAAGTGCTTTCTTTCTTTCTTTCTTTCTTTCTTTCTTTCTTTCTTTCTTTCTTTCTTTCTTTCTTACGATCTGCTCTCGGGATTACTTCCCTCTCTTACTTCCCTTTCTTTCTTTTTCTAAGTGCTTTCTTTCTTTCTTTCTTTCTTTCTTTCTTTCTTTCTTTCTTTCTTTCTTTCTTTCTTCTCTTTTTTATATGTCTTTCTTCTCTATTCCCATTTCTTTCTTTAATTCTTTCTTTCTTTAATTTTCGCTTGTTGAACTTCTTTCTCTCTGTCTTTCTCTCAAACTCTCTCGCGAATATCAAATTTTCCAAGCCGTCTTTCCTCTTTATGTTCTCTAGTGATTTCAACTGTCTCATTCTGATGTTAAATATAAGTGTCCTTTTTCCTAAAGCTTTGCCATTGCTCACATGTTCGGGTCCATGGTATCCTCAGCATCCTTCTGTAGAACCACATTTCTGTTGCTTCAAGTCTCTTCTTTATCTTTAAGAAGACTGTTCAGAATTTACTGCCATCCAGGAGGACAGATATTACGTAATAGTTCAATACTCTTTTCTTGGTTTCTAACGAAGTTTTCTGCTTAGCTTTTGGAATGAAACTTTGACCATTCCAATGTATCTTCGGATCTCAGCCTCGCACTTTCCGTCCTCTGTTAGAACACTTCCCAGATATTTAAATTATTGAACTTGTTTGATTTTAGAATCCACGATTTATAATTTGCATTTTGGGCTCGTCCTTTTGCTGACAACCATGTATTCTCTCTTGTAACTTATATTTAGTTTTTTCTTCTCACTTTCTTTCGCTACCTTCTGTAGGAACTTTTATAGTTTCCTTTCCGTGTTTGCTATTCAACACTGTGTCATCTGTATATCTTATGTTGTTAAGATTGTGGCCGCCAACAACAAATCCCGAGAGGACATCTAATTCTCTCGGAATTGCCTCGCTGTATAGGTTGAACAATCCGGTAAGAAGACAAATTTGGACTAATGGCCTCATATCTTAGTTATCAAGTTTCGGTCGTTGTAATATCCGGCCTTCTTCAGACGTCTGTCAATCCAGGTAATCTTCAGAGAATTTCGAACTGAACCCTTTATTTAATCTAGATTTAGTGTCCTTTTTGTTGCCATTGTCTCTAGAACTTCGCCGTTGCTCACATGTTCGGTTCATGGTATTCTCAGCAGCCTTCTGCAGAACCACATTTCTGTTGCTTCAAGTCTCTTTTTCCTCTGTGAGGAGATTGTCCAGCATTCGCTTCACTTTATTCTTTGAGAGTAACGTGTCCGGCAATATTTGAGAGCTGACTCTTTGCTATTGAACACTTTATTTTTCAGCGGGATGTGGTTCAACGGCACTAGAAGCTGACCCTGTGGACTTATCTCAATGAGAATCTACCAGGAAGATGGATCGGGTGTACCAGTGATAATGGCAATGTGCTGTTGAATTGGCCACCATATTCCTCTGACTTGAAACCTTGTAATTTTTTTTCTATGGGGCTATGTGAAAGGACAATTCTATTTTCCCCGCTCTTTCTACAAACTTAAAGGAACCTGAGCAGAGAATCTCTGAGATGCTGGAGAATGTTACGCAAGGCATGCTACAGCGCGTTTGGCAGGAGCTGGACTACCGACTTGTCGCGTATCGTGTTACAGGTGTTGCGCGTATCTTAATGAGAATCTACTAGGAAGAGGAATCTGGCTTGCCAGTAATAATGACAATATGCTGTTGAAATGTCCATGAGGTTCACATGACTTGACATCATGTGATTTTTTGTCATGGGGCTATAGGCTATATATGTCTATATTCTTCCTCTTCCTCCAAGCCTAAAGGAATTTAAGCAGAGAATCACTGAGGCTCTTGAGAATGTTACGAAAGACATGCTACAGCGTATTTGTCAGGAGTTGGACTATCCACTTAACGTGTGTCATGTCAAAGGTGGTGCGTATATTCGACAATTTTGAAGCTTATAGCTCATAAAATCTGCATCTCTTTGAATCACTTGTTCGGATTTAGATAAATAAATATGTTATTGTCAAACATGAAGAATTTCGTTTGCCTGGGACATGTAGTTGCTCAGATATTCATATTTTAAATTATGTTATTTTTTCCGGAGGACACCCTGCATCTTTACATTTCGATCACAAGGGATGTTAAACAAATTCTAGATCAAGTTTTCTGGCATTCAAATGGTGGTTCTGCATTGGTTGGTTCACTCGTATGAAAGAGCGGTGAAATACGTCATTAATTTTCGAACACACTACTTTACAAACGGCCGATAACTGCATCATTTTTGCTGTGGTGAAGAATTCAGAGGTCACAGGTAATTTAGTTTTTATTCATTTTGAATAAAATCGGAAGAGTAAAATAGATTTTTTTTTAAAAGCTTTCCGCTAAAATTGATAATTTCTGCCCGTCGGCCATTTTATATTGAGAGCTTCAGACTGAGTCACTTTCACTAATAATAACTCCAGCGCTACCAACACGTTGTCATCATCACGAGGAAGTAAAATGACAAAAAATCGTTATTACGTGCGTGAGTGTCTTGGCTAATCTGGCAAAGATATACCTTTACTTGATTTGGGGATAGGTATATATTGATCGTTTATCTTTGAGTTTGTAAGAATTTACATGCTTTGGGGATAGGCATATATTGGTCGTTTTTATTAGAATCTATAAGGATTTACTTCGTTTGGGGATAGGCATATATTGGCCGTTTGTATTTGGGTCTATAAACATTTACTTTGTTTGGGGATAGGTAAATACTGGTAACTTATAATTGAGTCGATAAGCATTTAGTGTTTTGGGTAAGGGAAATATTGGTCGTTTACATCTGAGTCTGTTCATTTACTTGGTTTGGGAATTGGTAAAGATTGGTGACTTTTAACTAAGAACAATAAGCGTTTATTTGGTTTGAGGATATGTAAATATCAAATATTGGGGATAGGTAAATATAAATTATATTTTAGTCTATAGGCATTTACATTGGTTTTGGGGTTACGTGTATAATACTAGTTTATATTGAGTCTATACTTATTTACATGTAGAGGAACAGGTAAATATTGTTTACTTATAGGGAGTCTATAAGCATTTACTTAACTTGGGGATAGGTAAAAATTTGTTGTTACTATTTGAGTCTCTAATCATTTACTTAGTTTGGGAATAGGTTAAATATTCACTTATAATTAAGTAGGTTAATTATAGGTCAATATTAGTCGTTTATATTTGAGTTTATAAGCCTTTACTTCGTTTGGGAATAGATAAATATTGCTGACGACCATTTAAGATTATAATCATTTATTTAACTCTTTGAACCCTGACCACAGCTTCACCGGTGGTAGAGATAAATGACGGTTGAACAGTGGTAGAGACAAATGACTTAGTGCCCAGCCACTTGCGTCGTGTTTTCCTATTGGTTGTCTTATTTTGAAGAGCCAATAAGAAAAGCCGTAATATTCTGATGTCATCCAACGTCATGTCAACATGTCTGCGCCATTTTACTGATGTGGAATAAGAAAAAGCCCATCAATTTCTTGTCAACATGTCACTACAACCCGGAAAATTGGAATTGGTGAGCATAGAAACAAAGATGGCACAGTGATCCAGATCAAAATGCCTCAGCTGGTCAGTGACTACAACCAATACATGAGTGGGGATTGATAAAAATGACCAGATGACATGTCTGTACGAGACATGCCGACATTACCGCTGGGCAAGACGTCTCTTCGTCAAGTTTGTCATGTGCGCCATCTGAAATGGGTGTGTTGTTCCAGGCAACTTTCCTCCAGTAAGCCGAATCCCTCAGCTCCAGAAATTTCCGAGATCAATACTGTGTGGTGTGTGCATTCCAGCTAGCTACAGTGCACAAGCAGTCAATCAATGCTGATGCTCTTGAACGCCTACAAAATGTCGGCCTCTACCTCCCAGAGATACCAGAAGATGCCTCCACTAACGACCTCTGTGCTGTGTGCTCTCATAAATAAAGGGCGTTTTATTAAGACGGATCTAAGTCAAAAGTAAATAAATCAGTGTTATTGGTGAAAATTTATTTATTTTTCTATTGGTTCATGTTATTTAAGTCATGGCAATTATGTGTGAAAAATAATATCGCTCAAATGTCCGCCAAGGCTTTGGCAGTTCAACTCCACTTGATGTTCAAAGTTTTTGATAATGTCTCTGCATAGTTGCTCCTCGATCTGACCAATATGCCTTATTATCTCATCCTTCATTTGCTGAATTGGCTTGTTGGCATAGACCTTACTTTTGAGATGACCCCAAAGGAAGGAATTTTTGATGACGTCTCTGCATAGTTGTTCCTCGATCTCACCAAAATGCCTTATTATCTCATCCTTCAGCTGTTGAATTGTCGTTGACTTGTTGGCATAGACCTTACTTTTGAGATGACCCCAAAGGAAGAAATTTTTGATGACGTCTCTGCATAGTTGTTCCTCGATCTCACCAATATGCCTTATTATCTCATCCTTCAGTTGTTGAATTGTTGTTGGCTTGTTGGCATAGACCTTACTTTTGAGATGACCCCAAAGGAAGAAATTTTTGATGACGTCTCTGCATAGTTGTTCCTCGATCTCACCAATATGCCTTATTATCTCATCCTTCAGTTGTTGAATTGTTGTTGGCTTGTTGGTATCGACCTTACTTTTGAGATGACCCCAAAGGAAGAAATCTAAAGGCGTCAAGTCGCACGATCGTGGTGGCCAATTGACTTCGCTGTTTCGATAGATGATGCGATCTGGGAACTTCTCATTGCATTTCTGTTTGAACGTCCATTTTCGTAATAGTCTTCGATAACTTTAACACATTGTTAGATTATTAATCTTTTCATGGTTGAAATTGCCAAAGACATAAATTGTTAAATTTGAAAGAAAAAGTAAAAAAAAAAAAAATCATTAGACGCTTAAACTTAATTCACATTTAAAATCGGTCCAAGTTATTGGAACACCATTTACAATAAATTCAAGCAGAAAAACCCAACTGTGGTCAAACAAAGACTATCCTGTCAAGGCAGTGAAGTCTTCAGTCTGCTGCACAACATGCCAGAGCTTCTTTTGCATCAAGAAACACAGTGCCTGTTGGGTAGACTGGTACGCAAAGATAGAATTCTGGCGATAAAGTGAAGTCATGCAACCATACTCTATCGCTGTTAAGTATAATGCTAATATTTTTTTATAACTATTTTTATATCAACAGTGGAACATTACATAGCAATTATTTGCGTATTTTGACTCAGGAGATCAGGCAGAAGAGTTAAAATTGTTCAGGAATACAGAGTTCAAAGAGTTAATTTGGGGATAGGTAATTATTTGTTGTCTATATTTTAGTCTATAAACATTTACTTCGTTTGGGAATAGGTAAATATTGGTGGCAGATCTATAAGTTTATAAGCATTTACTTCGTTTGGGGATAGGTAAATGTTGGTGACAATATTTAATTTTATATGCATGTAATGACAAAAGTTCGCAGGTGTAGGCTTTAAGAAAGCTTGATCCAGCTGAGAATACAAGGTTCGCGTATATGTCCTTTTATAGTCCCAGTAAAAATAAATAGCTCTCTCAAAGAGGAGAGTAACAAAACAAGGGGAGACAACTCCTTGATTATTCATGACAATGAATTTACATCGTTTGGAGATAGGTAAATATTTGTGTAATCTATTTGACTCAGGAGCTCAGGCAGAAGGGTTAAATTGTTCAGTAATTCGGGGCTCAAATGATTAGTTTGGAGATAGGTAAACATTTGTTGTCTATATTTGCATTTATAACCATTTATTTAATCGGTAAATATTCGTTGTTTATATTTCGGTCTATATATTTAAGTGATTGACAAAATAGAGACATGGATAAAGAAAACTGACATTGGTTGCCGAGTGGCCATTTTTTTTTTTTTTAAGCGTTTCACCCCAAGCAAGGCGGGAAGCCACTAGGACGCAAGGGGTTACAGAAGATTTAGAGCAAGATCAGATACGAGTGATAGAGGAAAGGATGACGAGAATGATAGTGGATAGATCAAGACAACTGGAGATGTCGATTGACATTACATTTGAATAGTTGGAGATTATAGCTCTTAGGGAAACTAGAATAGGGAAGAGGTTCCACAGGCGAGAGGTGCGAGACAGGAAGCTATTGGAGTAGAAGAGACGGCTACATTTAATAGTTTCGACAGTGAAAAGGGTGAGAGCGGGATGCCAGCCTCGTAGGGCGCTTGAACTCATGAAGTCTGGGAACCAGCGAATGCAGCTCCTCGGAGCAATTACCATGAAAGTATTTGTAAAAAAGACAGAGAGAGACGACGGTGTGTCTGTGAGAGAGCGACTGTAGACGAGATGCCAGAACAGGGCCAAGTAGAAAAGAAGCCTCTGAGGAAACCAGACATATTAGTGAAAGATAAAACAGAAACAGTTTTAATCATTGAGCCACAGTGACCTGTTGCTACACGGTTAGAGCAAGAAAAAGATAAGTCTAATCAAGTATGACCCATTGAACTTTGAACTCGCAAGGCATTGGAAGTTGAAGAGGTTCACAGTGATACCTGTTGTCAATGGTGAACTTGGTACAATAACTAGAAATATACATTAAAAATTGACATTGATTGCAGAAAGGACACTTTCTTAGGAACGGCAATGCTAATCCGGGAAGTGATGAAAACTTACAATTAGTGGGAAATGACACGATACTGAAGGTTACTGGTTGTGAACCTTTATCCATGTGTTACGTACTGATCAATGTCCGCTGACGTGAGATGGAACAAATACATTGAATCAATAGCTTCATTTACCGCAAGGAAAGATGGTTCTCTGTGTCATGTGTTTTTTCTCGTCCGAGTCCATCCTTCAAATTTATAAATCAACCATTCGCCCTTACATGGAATATTGCTGTCATATATGGTCTGGAGCCCCTACTGTTCGTCTTAAGGTCCCCGACAAAATCCAAAGACGGATATGCAATGTGGTTGTCCCTGATCTGGCATCTCGTTTACAGTCGCTCTCTCACAGACGTGCCTTCGCTTTTCTCTGTCTTTTCTACAAATACTTTCACGGTAACTGCTCCGAAGAGCTATTTTCGCTTGTTCCCAAACTGCATGAATTTAAACGTGCTACTAGGGTAGCATCTCAGTTCCACTCTTTCAATGTCGAAACAGTTAAATGTAGCCGTCTCGTCTACTCCAATAGCTTCATGTCTCGCACTTCCCGTGTGTGGAACTCCCTTCCTTTTACTTGCTTCTCTGATTGCTTTAATCTTATTCAAATGCAATGTCAATCGACATCTTCAGATGCCTTGATCTAATTCCCCGCCCTTCTCTTCATCCTTTCCTCTATCACGCCTCTTTACTCTTGCACACTCTCTGTAACACCTTGCGTGCTCGTAGCACCCTGTCTTGCTTGGGGTGAAATGCTTAAAAAAAGAATAATAATCCGATAAGCGCTTGAAGAGCAATAGCTCTGACATCAAAATTGTGTACAAGAGCAGCCAGGAATGAATCCTGAATGACGCTGCACTAACTTGGCAAAAGAACATCGTAAATGCCGAACGGGGGAAAATGGGGCGGTCTAAACCTCAATTACAAAAAGGCGGGAAGCATGGTTGTCAGTAAAATGGACAGCCCAACAAGCAAATTACAAATTGGGGATGCCAAAATCAAACCAAAATTTAAATATCTTGGAAGTGTTTTAATAGAGGACGGAAAAAAGCGACTCTGAAATCCGAAGGCGCGTTAGAATAGCCAAAGATGCCTTCCAAAAGCTAAGCAGTGTATTAAGAAACAGGAAAAAAAAATCGTTAGAAACGAAGAATAAAATTACTGAACCTATTCGTAAATTCAGCCCTTCTATACGGCAGCGAATGCTGGACAATCTCCTTACCGATGAAAAGGAAAATTTAGGCAGGAGAAATGTGGTTATACTGGAGGATGCTGAGGATGTGAATAACGACGAAATTTTAGAGAAAATTGGAACGAAAAGGTAACTTATACTTAACATCGGGAAGAGAAAGTTGATCTTTCTAGGGCTCATAATGAGGAAAGAGGACTTGGAAAATCTGATACTCTTAGGGCAGATTGAGCACAAGAGAGACTGAGGAAAAGCTAGTGAGCTTGATGGAATGGATGGCAGAAGAAGGTTTTCAGGAAATAACAAAAGATAGGAAAATATGGAGAGCCACGACTGATTACACCTTGAAAGGAAATAACACATAGAAGACTAAAACCTGGCAGGTTAAATCAGAGAAATAACCCAAGGATCAGCTCAAGTTGTCTCCTTTTTGTGCTTGGTGCATTATGGAGCATTTCCGGGTTATCTATCTAGCAAGACGTCTTGGGGATAAATGACACTATGGGGTGTGTGCAGTAGGTTAGGTAGATTTTTTACTTTTCTTTTAGAAAATCAACATTGAATTTAATGTGAATGTTGGGGATTTATGTCGTAAGTACTGACACCCAAAATTAGTTTAATATTTTTGACCAACTTTTTGAATATTTAGTTTTAAGAGAGTTTGAAAAATGTACAGAAGTACATCATTTCCACAAGCTTGTGTTTACAAACTGAAATTCAATTTTTTACTATTTCAAAAATAAATCAAAATAAAGTTGATATCTTTTACATTGAATGGAAAATATATTCAAACCAGAATATGAAATATGAATCACCACAATCAAATATGCTATGTTTTAATTGTATTTGTGTTGTGAGACCGTAACATACCTACAACATGGACTCTTCTAGGACTATATAAAGTATGCGTCATAAAACTCTAAAAGAAGAGGAGAGAGAGAGAGAGAGAGAGAGAGAGAGAGAGAGAGAGAGAGAGAGAGAGAGAGAGAGAGTATTCTAATACCGTAGTATCAGCCGCGTACGACTACCAATATTGGACACTAGCACATAGTAAGCTCCGCTTACACTTACACTATCTTTGTAACCTTTTTGTTTAATATATCTTTCTTACCTCTAATCCGCGTTCCGTGTTTTCCTTCCGTGGTCCCAACTTTGGGCCCACATCAATTTGATAAGTAAAAACTGTAAAAAAATTATAAAAGATTACAAAAAAGGCTAAATTAATGAATAAGATTTGTTAGATCATAGACTCAATAGCTTCATCTAACACAAGGAAACTTGATTCTCTGTGTAGTGCCAGAAAGATTTTCTTGTCTGAGTCCATCTTTCAAATCTATAAATCAACCATTCGCCCTTACATGGAATACTGCTGCCATATATAGTCTTGTGCCCCCGCTGTTTATCTCGAGGTCCTCGACAAAATCCAGAGACGGATATGCAGTGTGATAAGTCCTGATCTATCATATAGTCTACAATCACTTTCTAACAGACGTGCCGTGGCCTCACTCTGTCTCTTCTATAAGTATTTTCACGGCTACTGTTCCGACGAGTAGCTTTCTCTGGTTCCCAGATAGCATGAATTTAAGCAAGGGTGGCATCTCGGTCCAGCCTTTTCACTCTCGAAACGATTAAATGTAACGGTCTCTTCTACTCCAACAGCTTCTTCTCTCGCACTTCCTGTCTGTGGAATTCTTTTCCTCTTACTTGCTTCTCTGATAACGATAACCAACATCAATCTGATAACTTGTTCTTGTTCCCCGTCCTTCTCTTTAATCTCCGCCCCCAAACACGCCTCTTTACTATTGTTCGCTACCCTCTGTAACCCCTTGCGTGCTAGTGGCACTCCTGCCTTGCTTGGAGTGAAAAGCTTATATATATATATATATATATATATATATATATATATATATATATATATATTGCGTGCTAGTGGCACTCCTGCCTTGCTTGGAGTGAAAAGCTTGAATGTAAAAATGGAAATATACATGTATCGTTTCGTGGGAATGTGTGTGTAGGTGTATATAGGAACTCATAGACATATAAGACGATATAGGTATGTGGTTACAAATAGGGGGTTGAGACATGTGTAGATAAGAAAATATAAAAGAAAGGCCTAAAAACAACCACGAGTTTACTTAATGAACAAAAATCAAAAACAATCACAGGTTCACTCAATGAACAAAAATCAAACGAATAAATGTCAACCTAACAAGCTATAAGATAAAAGCTTTAGTGGAAAAAGTACTAAAGTATAAATTGGATTACTCTTTCAATGTTCTGCCTATAGATCTTTCCAATCGACTGTTCACAGGAAATACTTAAAACTCCACTGAATTTCAAATTAATTTCTTCGTAGATTGTTTTAAAATTTTAGATATTTATCAAACCTTAACCTCCCAAATATGCATGTTAAAGTAACGCGAACTGACAGCGTCTAGGATTTGAATGAAACCTGTCGGATAATTTATTGCTGTTATAATTCTGGACCTGTTAGGACAAGTTATGAATTTGAAACCTGTCCAGGACAATTTATTTTGACCAGTGGCCAGTATGTCTCCCATTAATCGACCTTGTCTCCTCTTGATTTAGTGGGAATCAAGTATACCTATAACGCCTTCCTCAATGTAGCCTTCCGTCCACCCCTTAACCACCTTTATCTAGAGACGAGACGCGTTAGATTAGAGCAACATCCAGCCGATACACTGGGGTTAAAATAGAAAACTAAAATGATACATATGACACACTCACATCCTCTCTCCCACCTCATTTCCTCACTTCGTTAACTTTGCGTATTCTTGATGAGGTCCGTCAAAAACGTGTGAATTTCTTTTTCATTTTTCATTTCAGCTTTTGGAAGTAAACCTGATGATCAGAACCCTGTTAAAGGGTTATGGTGAAATAACTTATTACATGGAATCTTAACGTGGTCTGTCTTTTATTCAAAACATATCTGCTCTGAATTTTACATTGAGCTCTCTGGATTTCATCCTCCTCAGGTCGATCCATACGGATTACCTAAATTTGAATAAACTATATATATATATATATATATATATATATATATATATATATATATATATATATATGCACCCCCTTTATGCTAGTAGCACTCCTGCCTTGCTTGGGTGAAAAGCTTAAATATATATATATATATATATATATATATATATATATATATATATATATAGATAGATAGATAGATAGATAGATAGATAAATAAAAGTGTATATAACATCATAATACTGCTGGGCACAAAATATAAGACAAAACGTTTTAAATTTGCATTATTCAATGAAAATTGCACTAAAACTACCTCACTGTATAATACAGGGTGACGCCAAAAACGGGAATTTTTGAAGTGCGTATTGCCAGACATGAGCAAGTGGCAACACTGCGAGACTTGAGCAAGTAAACATTTTCGCCATTTAGAATTCAAGATGAAATTAACAGTATCCCAACTGAGATGTTGCAGCAGTCAATGAGGAATCTCAACAGCAGATTTCAAGAATGCATTCGTACAGGAGGACGCGATCCACAGGACGTAATTTAAAAAAATGAAAATTCCATCATTGTTTCTTAAATGGCACGTTTTAAGGTTTCAATTACTATGAATAAAATATATTTTTCTTCATTACTCTTGGTTTTATTGGAGTGTTAAAAAGTTCCCGTTTTTTGGGGTCACCCTGTATATTACATCCTAATATAGTTAAATCTTTCAGTGTAATTTCCCTTTGAAGTAAATGAAGATTTTATTTGATGTCACAACGATTTAGTTGCTTGTAACATGTATCTTGTCCATATAGAATTTGTAAAGCTTCAGTAAATTATAAATTTTATATGTCTGTGCTATACGGCTTTCAATGATCATCGGAATGAAATTACAACGCTACTATTTTGAACCTAAACTTAATCGTTTAAACTCATTTCCTCAAAAAACTGTAACGATTTGGACAAAACTATTTTGTTTCTTTATCATTTCGAATCACAACTTTCAAATTTAGCACAATGTCAAGGTTTGACCTGCTTTATTACTAATGTTTATTACTGCCTTATCAAGCGATATCGACAAGTTGGAGTAATGGATAGCGGCTCGGATTGAGGAATCGGTGAGCCGCGTTCGAATTCTTAACGAGTTCGTTACATTCATTTACTTGGAAAAGATATGAATCTATCTCCCTCCCCCAGCTATAAGGCTTTGATTGACCACCGGAATAAAATCCCAACGCAATGGTTTTGAACTTAAACGTAATCTTTAAACACGTTTTCTCAAAAAAAAAAAAAAAAAAAAAATAAGGATTTGGGAAAACATCTTTTGTGTCATTATCTTACTTATTATAAAACGCAGATTTTGTGTGTGTGTGTGTGTCTGTACGTTTATATATTGGATCGGATTTCCTACATTTTTCAACCGATTTCAACAAAACTTCACAGGACTACGTAAAATTACTTTGCGGTGGTTCTGACAGTGCCAAAAATTGGAAAAACACAATTGTTTTTGCACGAAATCAATTTGAAAACACGATAAAACGATTCTGTCGCCAGAATGAAAGGGGAACAACTCATATCGAGTTATACTTATTATAAAACCAAGGTTGTTTGTGTGTGTGTGTGTGTATGTGTGTTCGTTTATATATGGGATCGGATTTCCTACATTTTTCAACCGATTTCAACAAAACTTCACTTTTTTTGGTAGGTAGTGTTTCTTATTGTCTTGCACACTTTTTTCTTTATTTTTACATTCAGAATGCCTTAAAAATTCCATTTACAAGACAATTGTTTATAATAAAATTCTATTCAATCGATTGACTCATAACGATTGAAAACAATGTTTTTGTTTGAGTTTGGGTTTGACCAATTCGTAAAAAACAAAAGTGTCCATCAACCTTAAACAATAATCTTTGTCAATTTTATTTTTCAGTCTTTATGATGGTCGATACTTGATCTATCTCTTACTGTTACATCTCCGGGCAACGCCGGGCGCTACTGTTAGTTTTTAATATGAAACCCTAACTTTGCAATAACACTTTTCCAAAATTAACCTTCCCTAGAAAGCAGCTTTTTCGGAATAGTTCATGTGTTAAGGAAACGGTTGTGTCTGTCAGCGGCGGGTAGGAGCCGTGTTATGGCGTTCATCAGTCGCCTGAAACATCTACGAGTCGAGGATGATGTCAACTCAAATAATAATGCTGATTTCAGAGATTATTCAGCTCTTAGTGACAGTAGATTTAGCGTGATTAGGAGCTGCTAATAATCGTTTTGAAAAGATAAGGATTAAGCAAAACAAAAAAGAGACTATTAAAAAATAAAAGGAAAAAAAATGACCAGTGAATTTACTAGCGTGGAACTGATAGCTGAACCAGACATCGTCTGGACTTTTTAATCGTATTGTCTGTCTTCAGGGCTTTTCCTCTTGAAATCTTTTTCCTGAGAAAAATAATTGTCTTCGAAATGTCTACATCTGTCAAATCGAATAAGCATAAAAATAAAAATAATGAAAAATAAAAAACAAATAAAAAAAAAATTGAAACCCGGACAGCAGAACCAGAAAAGTAATAACTTTCTTTCTATCTTGTCTTTTAATGTCGGCCAATCGATGATTTGAGTATGAGGTCGTCGTTTAAAAATAAACTTAAACGAAAATAATGATCTTTACGTTATATTCTTAATTTTTGTTCTTCGTTTCAAAAAATATATATTTGAAATCCTTATAGTTGCTGGCTTGTTTAATTAGAATAATTCTAAGTTGTTTGCCGTTTCGAGATTAAATCCTTATACTATTACAAAGAAATTGCAAAACATAAAATAATTCTCAACAGAGATCTCCATATCGATACCGATTCTTATTGCATCAATTCAAACTGCACAGCGAAGCAATTTCAAGAGAACATATTCAACAGACGTTATTATCAGCGGACATATCCTTAAGGATATTATTAATAATACAGAGTGTTTAAGATAAATTGATCCCGTAGAAATAATATAAAACTTTAACAGCATGTATATTCTATGTTTAATTTTTTATGT